TACAAGGGGAAAACACCAACACAATCACACTTGATGACGAAACACTGGAAAATATGGAGTCTTTCACGTGCCTGAGAAGCATCATCGATAAACAGGGAAGTTCAGATGCAGACGTAAAGGCGAGGATTGACAAAGTAAATACACCATTCCGAAGACACCTATGGTCAAATACTAGTAACATATGAATATCCTCTACTTTTACCGGCCATGTTTCACAGCCATAAAGTAGGACGGAAAGAACATTAAAAATCACTACAATCTCCCATTCTAAAGTAAAACATTCATAACAAGTTATTTAAATATGAAGTGTAGTTAATAGATATCATTCTTAGCATGAACTGAACTACTTTTAATTTTTAAGTAGTGTCTTAGGAATATGGCATCAATTGTGAACAACTTTCTAGCTTAGTACCTTGTTTCTAACTGGATATAAAGTATAATGTTGAAATGCTGTAAATCAGCCAAACAATTTTTTTTTAAAGTTATTTGGATGAAAGGTCTATGATGACTGTACTTACCACGAGACAGAAGGTTCTAGTTTGATCTTTGACCGTATTGTAAATGAATCTTGTTTAAAGGTCTTACAATGAGACAATACAGTTTTACCTTGTTTAGTTATAGCCAGTCCATAATGTTAATCTTCATCCAAATATCACTTCATATTTACAGTAAGCTGCAGAAAATTATGAAGTCCTTATTTCTCAACTATATACACTGAATCGTTTTATTTTAAAAAAACTTACAACTTATAATGATACTAAATACTAGAAAATACTAAGTTAACCATCTTAATTGTTTGCACGTTTCCTCTTTGTTTACTCTTTGAAGAAATAGGCGACTACATTGGTATTTAGACAATCATAATATGAAGCATGAAGAAATAAATGTAACCGCTAAACTATTATGGGATTCCTTAGCAGTGCATACCCATGATACCGGTAGCAGAACTCGAACCCAGAACCGGTCTGGTGTACGAACATTTAACATATAGACTACTGAGCCGGTGTTCAATGGTGTTAATGTCTAGTTTTAACCAAATAGTAGTCAGTGATATATAGAAGTATAACTTTTAAAATTGTCATAGAAGGAGTTATTCGTCCCACAATAGGACCAAACGGCTGTCCAGTACTTCCACATTATCAATAGTGGTCTAACATCAATCAGTTCATGATCTCAATCAAAGATCATTTATTTCTTCTTTATATAGATGAATGTTCTTAACAAGTATATTAAGTGTGATTAGATTGTTCGAAATGTATTGCGCTAATATATCATCATCACATAGTTCTGATAGTCTCCATCTTTTTATTACATTATCATAGAGACTAATTGCTTTAAATTGAAAACCCCTATAAACTAATAGTATTTAGTTGTCATGACTCAAAGTATTGACTATTAATTTATTTTTTTTAAAAAAAGGATCATAAAGATAAAAATTGTTAAAATTCATTCACACAAATCAATGTTGTCTAGGCAACTAATTCATTTATTTCATATATACATAGAATTCCCTTTTATTATTTTGTTAAGAGTAAGAATAAAGATTCTAGTAGATTAGCATAAATTCATGTTTATTTCGTCTGATTCTCATCAACTACTTACAATCTGTGATAATCATAATTATCGTTTAAAGATCCTCATTATATTCAGTGACTAATATTGAATGAAGAATATTCTTTTCGATAAATTCTCTTCAAGTTCTACAATTACCACATATCCAAATTGTTAATCCAAATATTACACCGTTGGATGCCGGCTCAGTGGTCTAATGGTTAATTGCTTGCGAGTGAAGCCAGTAGGTCCTGGGTTCGAATCCCGCGGGGTGTGGGTTCGTGGATGCACACTGCTGAGGAGTCCCATACTAGGACGAAACGGCCGTCCAGTACTTCCAGGTTTTCTATGGTGGTCTAGCTTCAATTGACTCATGATTTCAACTTGTGAAATTTCTAAAAATCTCCACAAAACTCATTCTTATAATCCAAATATTAGCCAGGTTAAGGGCATAGCTTATTGTTTAAGCATCATCATTAATCTCCCTTATACAGGATTCATTCACTTCACATTCATCCCTCCGTATTACGTCTTACTTATTTGATCGAATTGTAATTGCACTATTATTTCTCTCTCTCTCTCTAACCCTATTTGATCCATATTTATACGGATCATGGATCTTGAAAAAAATTTCACTTAACATACACGCAAATTCAAGTTAACATTAACATTAAGAATTTTATTGTAGTCTGCTTATCGCAATCCTAAATTCACATGCTTCAAACGATGTACTTTGCCCTTAACCTGGCCATTTCTTCGGATTATTCATTTGGATATGGGATAATCATAGAACGCGGTGGCCTGCTTAAATATCTGGGCTACCTGTTTCCTCCGATCTAGATATTTCATCAAGTTATCTGTTTTGTTGTTTGTTTCAGCACAGCATTATGTCTATTGTGTTCACAATCTATTCAGGCGCATTTATGGAAAGTTTACAACCTTTCACTATACGGGATACAAAAAGGTACAATCAGCGACATTATGGCGGCTGGCAATATGCATTGAAACGAATGAACATTAATCAAATGTGGATTACCGAACTCCTAACATCTAACCGGTCATCATTCAAAATTTATCGTCACAATAGATCGAAGTATAAGAAAAGGAAACTTGTTGAAATACTTTATGCTGAGAATTCTATGTTGTATCAAAAATATAATGTTGAATAAAGCTTTTAATAATAATAATAATAATAATAATAATAATAATAATACTCATTATGTAATCACTTGTTTCTAACCGTTTGAATTGTTGTTACAAACAATGTTGTGGGAGTGTCTTTCAAATAAGATACAATATTCAGTCTATTAAGTTTATTTACACCCCTTACTATAGTATACTAATGTGTCTTCAATATCACTTCTAACCAAACTCTCTCATGTAAATAATTTAAACCCATTATATAATTATGATGTTTAAATATCCCAAGTTGTAAGCAACTGATGAGAACCAAACGAAATGAAATGAATTCATACTATTCAGCTAGAATCTTTCTTCTTTTATGGTTCCGTAATCATCATCAAACGGTGTTGATATTTTTAAAAAAATATCTGATATTTCTTTAAGTATTGTTCACATCTATAGCATTGTGAATCGTAATTGATTAAATAGAAATTTTTAGCTAAATAAATGTTTAATTGAAGATACTTTTCGGTTTGAGAACAAACCAGATTCCAGCGGAGGAATAGATCAGAAAGAAACGATGGAAGTGGATAGGATACATATTGAGGAAAGCACCGAACTGTGTCACAAGGCAATCTCTCACTTAGAATCCATAACGCCAAAGGAAATGAGGAAAACCAAAGAATATATTACTGTGAGGAATGAAGACAGACATGAGAAGAATGAACAACAATTGGATAGAACTGGAAAGGTTTGCGAAGGATAGGGTTGGATGGAGAGTGCTGACCGTCGGCCTATGATCCATTGAGTGTAACAGACGAAAGTAAGTAAGTACTCTTCGGTTTAGTGGAACAAGACAGTTAGCGTTTTTAGAAAAAAAATTGATAACGATTGAAAAAACTACTGGATACTAAAGAACAGTAGAGACTTCATTACTTCATATCTCTAGTTGAATTTGTTATGAATCAATGAGTGAATAAAAATCTGGTATAGAATGTTTTTAACTGATATTTGTTGTCATCTTTGATAATTAAGTTTTGGTTAACATGACTGAACTCGACTGATAATGATTTCTAACTAAAATTCATCAACAACTATTTCTAGTAATTTCAATAGTTGAGATCATGAGTCAATTAGAGCTAGATCATCATGGAAAACCTGGAAGCACTGGAAGGCCGTTTCGTCCTATTGTGAAGCTCCTCAGCAATGCGCATCCACGACACCGCCCCGAGGGATTCGAACTCAGAACCTAACAGTCTCGCGCGCGAGCACTTAGGCACTAGACCACTGAGTCGGCATGTAACAGTGTTGATGTCTCACCTCAACTAATTAGGCAACACATCCACCATTTTCATCAGTGAATTACTATCTCACAAATTAACGCAAAGAAATCCATTCATGAATAATATAATCATAATCAATAATAAATTGTTTTGAGAAGAGTCCTTAAATTTCCAATGAGTTGCCATGAATCGTTTAGAAATGTCAAGAGAAGAATAGTTGTCATCCGTTATTTTGAATAACATTCATGCTACTGTATGAATTAATCTAAACTGTAATTATTTGCTGTTGTATTATATCCTAGTGATTTAACATTTAGGCTCTTACTATGAGATTTCAATGTTTCGGTATTACATTGAAGTGTATTTATAGATGAATATTAATGAGTTATTCCATTACCAAGATGAAAGAGTTATGTAGTACTTTATGGTTTACAATGATACTTTAGTCAAAGTCAACCTGTTGAAAATAGTGTCGAATCACTTACAATCATCGCACTAATAATTTAACAAGCCATGAACTTCTTAATTCACATGTACATTTTGACCAGGTAAAATGTTTACTTATATTTAATATTTTACTAAAAATAATAAGAAATCCAGATGATCACAACTAAAAAATGACATATCAAGCATTAATGATCCCAAAAAAATTGATCCCGGATCATTAGTCTAGTTTGATATCAGTCAAAATCTCACTATTCATTCATTCATTCATTCATTTCTTTATGCCTGTTACTCCTAATAGAGTATAATCAATCAATCAATATTGTCCAATCCACTCTATTCTATACCTTCCTTCATAATTCTATCTAATTGTTGTATCAATTATTCTCCACTGGAAGCTATTGTCGATTTCATATCTGGATAATTGAACATTAGGTTAATGACCACATCTCATAGAAAACTAAATCTCTATTAAAATTAGAAAGACAACGTTAACCAGACAAACATCTCAGTATATTATTCATCCAATATCAATCAATCATTTTTTTTATTCAATCTAAATTAACTACTTATATAATCATATTTATGAGTAGTTATGTTAGAGAAGAAGAAGAAGAAGAAGAAGAAAAATGAACTAACCAAAAATGATTGAATGATTTGTTTGTTCGTTTGTTTGCTTCTTTTCAATATGTCAATATATAAAACACAATAATAATCCTTCATTAATTTTGTTTTAATCCTTATTCAATATTCAATATTTTGCAAGTAAACGTTTTAATCTTTCACGAAAACTTTGATTAAATAATGAATAAATAAAAAAATTCACAGCATTATTAACATAATAAAATTCATGATGTACAGTTGTCATAAAACTTCCATCATTCTCTTGATTATTAAGAATAAATTTTGTTCTATTATGTAATTGATTCGTAGAGTAATTCATGATGGTAGTGGTCATGGCGACGGTAGGGATAGTGGTGGTAGGGGTGGCGCTGATGGTATATTTCCACCAAAATTTAAAATGTACCCATAAAACAGGAAATAATGTAGCATAAAATATTACAGTAGAAATAAATATCATTAAACCTGTACGATGACTACGTGTTACACGTTTAGATAATAAACGATTTACAGATAATGGAGATATTGGAGACGATATTGTTGTTGTTGTTGTCGTTGTTGTTGTTGTTGTTGTTCCAATAGATTGATTATTATGTTTTGATATCATAGATTTATTAGATTCTTCTTTAGCTTTTGAATGTTCAAATAATGTTGATATAGATGGTGTTTTTAATAGAATACGTCTTTTTAATATATTCCATTGTATAGTTGTCTCTAATTCATGTTGATGATAACATTGTTCTTGTTGTTGTGCTGGTGATGGTGATAGTGGTTCTTGTTGTTGTTGCTGTTGTTGTTGTTGTTGTTGTTGTTGTTGTTGTGGTTGTGGTTGTTTTGTAATCACTTGATCACAACTTAATTGTTTCATTAATCTAAATGATAATCCATATCTTCTAGATTGTGTTGTATCACAATGATGTATTTTGGTGTCATGTTCATTTGTTACCTTTAATATTGGTTCTATTTCATTATTATTATAGATAGATGATTGTAAAAATGAATTGGATTTATTCAACAACTTTATTGATGTATAATTTGTATTATGATGAATAGTAGTTAACCATCGTTGTTTTCGTAAATCATTCTCTCTAACTGTTCTAAATATTCTTACATATAAATATGTAATAATAATAAATGAGATAAATGTTAATAGAATATAAATTTGATTAATGAATTCACGTAATTGTTCAATGAATTGACAATTCCATTTCATTAACTCCA